ATTGGGGCGCTTAGTGCGCTGCCTGGTAGAGTACGCGGATGATCCGTTCGGATTAGGCCCTTGTAAGGGAAGGGTTCCGGCGTGAAGGGTTTTTTTCCATTCACAAACGAGGCCCCGTTTGAGACATTCGCACGAGTTTGCCCCCTTGGGGCACGTATGTGTCATGCAACGTAGAGGATGCAGATGGCCCGCTCGAATTATTATCATGCAGTGCGAGTTCGATAGAGAGGGGTATCCCGTTTGAGATGTTCTTCTTTTTCGCACACTATGCATGCGCTCCAGTGTTCATCGGGCCAATTGTGTGGTTGAGATGGATGGCGGCTGTGGCGGTTGAAAACAGTTTTGCGGTGATGATTCGAAGAGCGAGTTTGGTGATGATGGCCATGATGGTGATCATGGTGGCGAGTGTGAAAATATGGTGTGGTAGCGGCATATGCCATACAGTGTTACGTGATGACGGTGATGATGATGTTGATGATATCCATTGCAATGTGTGTGATGATGCTTATGCAGCTGATTATAGTGATACGTGTGTGCATGAGTGTGGGTGATGGACAATAAGATGATGATGGTTGTGAATACGTTGGTGGCTATCATGGTGGTGTTCGTACCGTGGTGATGGTGATGGTGCCAATTGTGGTGATGGTGATTGTGATTAATGAAGGAGGGAACGGATGATATCCTGCGCGAAGGGGGGTAGAGAGAAAACAAACAACACCTTCGGATGCCGGTCTAATTATCAACATAAGATACATGTATCCAACGGTGGAACGTTACTCGATACTAAATGTGGTTTGCCTCTCCCCTTCTCCTCATCACCATGAGGGAGGTATTCCTCCCGCCCTCTGATTTGCCTTTTGTTCCTCTTCGTCATCGTGCTCCTCCTCCTCGTCCATCTTGTCGTCCTCGTGACATAAATTGTCTTGCTCCTCGTTTTTCTCCTCCTCCTCCCTCTCCTCCTCTTTCCCCACATCCTCCTCCATCCCTTTGTTTCCTCATCCCCATCACGCCTTTCTTTCTAATGCACCCGATTTTGTTTGGCTCTGTCGCCGCCACGGCTGGCAGGGACGCGTTTTCCGATAGCTGGATCGCGAAGCAACCCTGCGGGACAAACCGTTGGGACAATACCGCGGGCCGCCGGGGCGCGGGTTGGGACAAATTCGAAGTCCTCGAGCTAGTCGCGGCCGTGCTCAGGCGGGAGGCAGCGCGAAACCCAACTCTGCCGCGAGCTGCTCCGCTATAGCCCTGGGGTTCCCCGTTTGGCTGTCGAACTCCCCGAGCGACTTCTGCAGGGACGCCAGTGGCCGTGTTCCAGAAACTCTCGCGTGGGCGGACGCAGAATCAGCATGTCCCGACCGACCGCAGACGCGGCGCCTCCTGAGACTTTTTCGCCATGTATTCGATTTGCTTCCACGGGGTGCTCAAGTGCAACACCTGCAAGTGCAAGCCGGTTACCCGCTTCGGATCAGAAGATGGAACGCAGGCCCCATGGGGAGGGGGCTCCTGGTCGAGACTTCATCGCCTTTCTTTCGCAGACGAGGCCACCGTTCTGGACATCCTCGCGATTTGCCACCTTGGCGTGCCCAAGCGCCACGCCAAGTGAGATATTCCGATGACCCGCTCGGTGCGGGTCCCATCATTAGGGCGAAGGTTCCCGCTCGAGCCTTCTTCGTCAGTTACAGACGAAGCCACCATATCGAATCGGGGTGCGCCCCCTCGGGTGCTCACATGCAATGCCTTGTAAAGTATGCCGACGGGACGCCCAGATTAGTAACATGATTTGCAGGCCTCATGAGGGGGAAAGCTCCCACTCAAGCCTTCAACGAAGGGCAGTCACAGACGAGGCCACCTCGGGGCGATAATATGACAATCCTGGTGGAGGATGTCGAAAACCCGCTCGGATCAGGTACGTGACCTGCGGGCACCATATACACAAGGAAGTGGTTTTCAGTTGAGATTGCCTTCGGATTTTCCCACGCACGAGGAATGCGCCCGAGCGTTAACCAGTATATTGGTGCGATTGTGTGTGATGAGTGGCGACTGTGAATACATGGTGTGGTGATGAGCGGAGGTGGTGGTGCGGTGGCGATGGAGACGACGGTGATGGTGAGTGTGTTCGGGAGCATAGTATCTGCGATGCTGATGGTGGTGGTGGCGATGCTGACGACAGTCACGGTGATGATGACGCTGATATAAACTATGATGATGAGTTATTGAATGTGTGTGTTGATGATCTTGGTAATGTGATGGTGCACGCGTCGATGGCTATGACGGTGATGGAGGCGTCGCGGTGTTGACGATGACGATTGTGAAGAGGATGCTGATGATGATGCTGATGATGTTGATGATGATGATGCTGATGGTGGTGGTGGTGAGGAGGAAAAGAAGAGGGAGGAGAGGAGATCCTGAGAAGGGGGGGGCGGGGAAAACAAGAGCCCCACTTTGGAGTTGGGGACGGACGAATTTTGTGTGACGCTGGACGTGTCAATTATCTTCGGGATCCCAAGTGGGGGAGGTCCAGGGCCAGCGCGAGTTTTCCCTTGCCTGAAATGCCGAACACCTGTGATATGAAGTTCTTTAGTTTTGCTTCAAATGCATAATTTTGAATAAACAGCTCTATGGTCTGATCGTTTTTTGGTGTGTAGTATTCTAGTTTTGCAGGCGTCGCAGCTATAAGATGAGCACACCTGCGACGTCATTAAAACATGGGCCCCCCGTTGGATGTGATTCGCTTTCCCATATCAAGCGCAGGCTTCCTCATCTTAGAGCCGCCAGAACTCTGACACCACCAGACAGCCCCGTGCCCTCACCAAACAGCAGAAATAACATGCACTCGGGATCCCAAGCGGGGGAGGACCAGGGCCGGCGGGATCCCGCCCCCGCCCGGGACCCCGTAGTTTTGTGATGCTCGGATGGTCTGGTAGTCTCACGGGCCCCCGTCTGTGATTTGTCATTTCGCATGGTAGTGTCGCAGGTTTCGCAGCTTCAAGATTGGGGAGTTTGTGATTTTCAGTGGAGATCCATGAAATACAGTGAGACAACAATGACACTTGTGACGGGCAAAAACCAGACATCTGCGCACGAAGAAAGGGCCCTTGTTGTTTTCTTGTTGTCGCCCAGTTCTACGGTTTTTCTAGTGTGGTCAAGCGTAAACGTGTCTCGTTGGATTTTTTGTATTGGTGTCGTATTGTTTGTGAGTGTTTTGGTATATCGTGTGTGTAGTGTTTTGGTGTGCGTGGATTCCGTATTGTTTTCAGCTGCGTCGATGTGTAAGTGTTCTTTCGTTTGGAATTCTCCTTGATTCATGTCAATGACGTATGCGGGGTTCATTGGTTTCATCATTGTTATCAAGTGTCTGGGCCCTTATTGTCCATCGTATGGATTGTGTTTAGCTGTCCGCCAGATGGTTTCCAATTGTTTTTGGGTGTGTGGCTTTCTCTTTGTGTCTCACGATATACTATATATGCTGATGCGCAGTGTGAGTATCCCTCACGAATCGTAAGTATACGCCAGCGGGTTTTACAATGCATGTCGTCATGTATATATGTTTCTCTCTGTCTCTCTCTCGCTCTCTTGCCTGTTTCCCTCTCTTGTGTTTTGTTCCCTCGCTGAGTCTCTCGTCCATCCTTTGCACACTCCCTCTCTCTCTCTCGCTCTTTATCTTGTTCTCTCTTTCTCTCTCGCTCTCTCTTTCTCTCCTTCTCTTTCGAGGGCGGTGATGAAACAAGGGCGGCAGGGAGCGGAAAGAGGTTTGGATGAGGAGGGGGGGCGGGGAGGAGGAGGGAGGAGGGAGGGAGGATGAGGGAAGAGTTGGGGGAAGGAGGGAGTAATGCGCTGAAACATAACCCCCTACAGTCTAGAAGCGAGATGCAATCCAATACCTGATGTTGATGTAGTGGGATTATGATTCAATCGGCCTGTGTTATTATCTTGGTCCTTGTTGCTACAGTTTCTGTGCGATTCCTTTCGAAAGAAAGGGGGGGAGGAAGAGAGAGAGAGAGAGAGGGAAAGAGGCAGGGAGGGAGGGAGGAAGAGTGAGAGAGAGGGGGGGGTGGAGGCGATGGGCCTTTTTTTCCTACGGTTTCTTAACGCATGCTTGAGATAAAGAGGGGGAGGTAGAGAAAGAAAGAGGGAGAGAGATGGTTCATCATTGTTTCCTATTGCAGGGAGAGTGGGGAAGGTGAGGGGATGACGAACGAGGATGAGGCGGAGTCCGTTGGGGATGATAGAAGGAGGAAAGAAGCACGCTCTTGTTTGTTTCGTTATCTGTCTCGTTCTCTCGCTGTCTCCCTTTTCCTCTCGCAGTTTCCGTGGCGCCCTTGCTCTCTCGTTATCATATGTTATTTGTTTCTCTCATGATGGGGTGCCTGGTGGGAGGCTAGCGTATACATGCATACACACATACATATATACATATGTTTATTTGTTCATATATACACATACACGTATACACAAACGTTTGCATATTTGCACATATATATATATAGAGATGTACGTTCACTTATGCATTCATTCATCCATTCATGCATGCATGCATTCGTACACAAACGCATGCGTACATGCATACGTGTGTGCATTTACATATTTACCGATTCGTGTTCTGACCGTCGCTGTACTGATGCAGGGTCACGGGTGGGCCCTCCTGAGGATGTCTTGAGGCCGTTTTCAGGCCGTCTTGGGGGCCTCTTGGGCCGTCTTGAGGACCGCTGGGCTGCCTCGGTCCCTCAGGGCAATCTTGGGGGCCTCCTTGGGCTGTTCTGGGGCGGTCTGGGGGCCCAGATGGGCTGTCTTGGGGCCCTCTTGGGCCCTCCCTAGCCCCCCGGAGCGTCTTGCTATCTACATATTCTCTCTCGATGTATCGATCTATCTATCTTATATATGTATATAGATCTGCATGTATATATGTGTACATCTATGTGTATGTATAAATGTGTACTTGCGTATTCACGTGTATGAGCAATCTTACATCTATAGGATAGCTACCGCCGTACCGACCCCAGGTGGTGGTGCGGGCGGCGCCTTTGCAGCAAGACAACGGCCAAGGTGCGCCGGCCCCCAAGCGCTTCCTGAGCCACGTCTTCGAGGGCCTGGCCGCCCGGCGCCCGCAGGGTAGCCGCCCCGCGACGGAGCCCTCGAGAGCACAGAAGGGCATGAGCCTGGGGTTCGACGTTGCTTTCCCCCTCGGCCTCGTCTTCCTCCTCTTCAAGCAGTGGCGAAGCGTCCTGGCTCGCCTATAGGCCCACCGAAGACTGTTCAAAGGACCTTGTGTGGTCTGCACGAAATGCGCTTAGAACATTTCTGACTCAGACTGTCTTGGTTTAACACGTCGGTCTTCTGCTCTAAGAACACTGTCTTTTTTTTTTTTTTTTTTTTTTTTTATATATATATATATATATATATATATATATATATATGTAACATTTTGGGGTTCTAAGACAATTTCGTGGTAGGCCCACAGAAATGCCGGGACGATCAGTTCCGGCTCAACCTCTTCTCAGTTCTGCTCAACCTCTTCTCCCTCGTGTCCCTTCTCGTCACCCTCTTCGTCGCGCGCTCGCCCGTGCAACAGCTGTCACGTGCAGCTCATGTTGCAGGCTTCTGTCTGCCCAGGGGCAGGGGGGGCAGGATTTTTTCCGCTCCGACCAGCGCCGGCAGCACAGGGCATGTGGAGTTTGGTGATCGTCTTCCACTCCGCCCTCCATCAAAAAAACAAAAGGGCATAAGCGTACATGTTCGGAGCTCCGCGTGGGTCTCGCGGATCGGGGAAACAAAACGCGACGGGAGGTGTTGGCCTAAGGTGGGGGCACACATCAAGAAGCCATACGCTTGTCGTCAGGGCCCCCTGGGTTTCTGCGCTCCGCGCGCTGCGCGGCCACTTCGGAGCTGTTGCGTTCAGGGCGCTCTGAGTGTCGAGGGCTTATCCGAAGGGCTTAAGCACCCCGTCCTCCTCCTCCTCCTCCACCTCTCCCCCTCCCTCCCTCCCTCCCTCCCTCCCTCCTCCTCCTCCTCCTCCTCTCCTCCTCCCCCTCCTCCTCCCCCTCCTCCTCCTCCTCCTCCTCCTCCTCCTCCTCCTCCTCCTCCTCCTCCTCCTCCTCCTCCTCCTCCTCCTCCTCCTCCTCCTCCTCCTCCTCCTCCTCCTAGCCGCGCGGCCCACGTGTTTTAGGGGCTGTGGCTGCACGGCACCTTGCGCACCCTTCGCCGTGCCGACCAGGAGGCGCGGCCTCCCTCGCCCGCTACCGAACACTGTTTCACTCACGCACACATTCCTCCATTTCTCACAGTGTTGTGCATCGATTACCGCAGGGGTTCGAGTGGCACCTGTCCGTGCTGAGTGACCTTTTCGGGTCCCTGGAGGTGGGCTCGCTGTCTACCAGTGTTGTGCTATTACCTGAGGAGGTAGACCCGTGGAGCCCATACGGGTGCCCACGACGGCTTAATTGCGACGGAGCGTGTATCTCCTCGGGTTTGATTATTTGCTGTGTTCGTGTATCCTTGACGTTCTTCGGACCTATGCGAGTGCGATGGTGGAATCTTCTTTCTCTGACTGACAAAGACAGGGTGTCCGAGCTGCAGTGCAAATCGTTATAGTGATGTTGCTAATTCTTATCGGTGCGCAATGGTACGTGTTCAAGTCCGCAGACGCGGTGGTGGCCCGCATGAAGTTCGAGAGCAGGCAATTTGGATATGACCCAAGAGACAGCTTCACAAACTCATCGTGTGGTGTTTCGACGATGGTTAACACGCAGACGCTTCGAGCTCGGGGTGCAGTGCGTATATGGGCCTTCCCAAAAGATATTCGTGGCGTGTGGGGGGGGGGGGGGCTGTTAGTATTATTTCGCATTGCGGGGGCGAGGCTGTCGTGGGCCTTTTCATTACTTATCAAAGCAGGGATTTTTGGGGGCGGCCGAAGCTCAATGCTGCCATCCATCGTGCTTATGGCTACGCACAACAGGTACAAGCGGGTCCGCGTTGCATCGTTCAGATCATGGCGTCGTGGGACTGGTGAGGGGGCAGCGCAGCGCATGTGAGATCATGTCTGCCGCAGGCGAGAGGTACGGACGCAGCATGGAGCAACAGGCAGGAGCTATCGCACGCGAGATGGCAGAAACGAGGGGGTTGGATGTTGCAGACACCTTTTTACATGTGGCCCGAGCTTATGTGGATCAGTACCTGATGATGCAAGCAATGTCGATGCAACACCTGGCTTTCAATGTTTACGTGGTCAACGCCAGCGTATGTCGCGCATTGATCGCGTTTCACGGCGTGCCAGCTACGTGCCCTGTATGCAGTTGTTCACACTACAGATGCGCCGTGTGCGCTGGCTGCGGGAGTCGTGACGCAACATGCGTGACCATGCCCCTTTTCTTGTTCAGCTGGATTTGCGCGCGCGCTTTCGGCGCGATGTGCCGCGACGCGGGGAGCTTCGAGGGCTGCGAGAAGGAGGGCTACAACTGCGGCGAGCCGAATGCCATGAAGTTGGTTGAGAGGATAGAGGCACAGGCCAGAAGTCCACGAAGCGGGCAGTGTCCTTTCATCAAGATCCAGACCGCGCTCAAGGGCGCCAGCGCAAAGTGATGATGCCGTACTCCGACGAGCTCGCGCTTCCAGTCGTCAGCTGCGCGCAGCTCGGGGCGCAGCTGAATGAGGGGGCCCCGCCCAAGGGCCACCTTGAGAAGAACCTCCTGGTCTTTCTCGAGAACGGCAGCGATGACTACTAACGCATCGACGTGATGAGTCCGCATATGTTGGCTGACATGGTCCTTGGCGGACTGGGGAAATTGGCGGCAGTGAGGCGATGCCTGATTGCTTGTGGGAGCTACTGGCATTGGTGAAGTTGAGAGTTTATGTCGTGCTGTGCGCTGTATACTGAGTACTTGTGAATGTGTGCAACTTCCCTGGCCTGCGCGCGTGCTCCGATGCCGTCCTGAACGGGGGGTGCGAGGGCTACGAGCACGGCTGCGTCTATTACGGATTCGCGTCTTGAGGCCCCGCGGCTGCCGCTGTCAGGCCGCCCCTCCTTTCTCTTCTTCATCTTCCTTCTGTCTAGCGTGCGCAGGTATGTTGTTCAGTCGTTCCGTGATTCTGGCCCGGGAAAGTCTCTCGGGGCCGGCTGCGCTTTTTTGTCTTCAGAGTGCGTTGTGTTTCTGTAGTTGTTTAGGGTTCTGATACCCTGGAAACTCACGGCGGGCGGAGGCCCGAACTCGCGGAAGTTATGTCGGTCCTATGGCGCTTCGTGTGTCACGGAGTGGGTTCATGCCCCCCATAGGAGTCTGATATGATCCTCCTCCTCCTCCTTCTCCTCCTCCTCCTCCTCCTCCTCCTCCTCCTCCTCCTCCTCCTCCTCATCTCTCCTCCTCCTTATCTCTCCTCCTCCTCCTCTTCCTCCTCCTCCTCCTCCTCCTCCCCCCTCCTCCCCCCTCCCCCTCCCTCCTCCTCCCCCCCTCCTCCCCCTCGTCCTCCTCCTCTCTCCTCCGCCCCCTCCATCTCCTCATCCTTCCCCTCCTCCCCCCCCTCCCTCCCCTCCTCCTACCCCCCCCCTCCTCGTCCTCCTCTCTTCTCCCCTCCTCCTCCTCCTCCTCCTCCTCTTCATTTTTCCCCTCCTCCTCCTCCTTCTCCTCCTCCTACCCCTCCTCCTCCTCCTCCTTCGCCCTCTCCTCTCTCCCCCTCCCCCTCCTCCATCTCCCCCCCCCCCCCCGCCCTCCTCTTCATCCCCCCCCCCCCCCCCCCCCCTTCTCCCCATCCTCCCCCTCCTCTTCCTCCCCCTCCTCCTCGTCTTCCTCCTCCTCCTCCTCCTCCTCCTCTTCCCTCCTCCCCCCCCCCCCCCCCTTCCCTCCATCCCGGCCCCCCTCCTCCCTGCCCCCCCCCCTCCTCCCCCCCCCCCGCCCCCCTGCCTTCCTTCCCTCCCTTCCCCTTCCCTCCTCCCCCCTCCTCCTCCTCCTCCTCCTCCTCCTCCTCCTCCTACTCCTCCTCCTCCATCTCCTCCTCCATCTCCTCCTCCATCTCCTCCTCATCTCCTCCTCCATCTCCTCCTCCTCCTACTCCTCCCCCTCCTCCCTCCTCCTCCTCCTCCTCTCCTCCTGCTCCTCCTCCTGCTCCTTCTCCTCCTCCTCCTCCTCCTCCTCCTTCCTCCTCTCTCCTCCTCCTCCTCCTCCTCCTCCCTCCTCCTCCTCCCCCTCCCCCATTTCCTCTCCTCCCCCTCCTGCGCCTCCTCCTCCTCCTCGCCATCCCCCTCCTCGTCCTCCTCCTCCCTCCTCCTCCTCCTCCTCCTCCTCCTCCTCCTCCTCCTCCTCCTCCTCCTCCTCCTCCTCCTCCTCCTCCTCCTCCTCCTCCTCGGGTCGCCTACGGTCCCGGGGGAAACCGCGCATCTGGGTGAAGAGGCTGCTGCGTGCAGGGTGCTCTGGGTTTCCTTGCGCGCGCCTCTCGCGCGCGGGTTTCCTCAGGGCTTGGTTTCACGCGAGGGCTTCTTGCGGTCGCGTCCGCTCTGTACCCTCGGCTTCTGGGGGCCCTCTCGCCAGGCTCCAGGAGCGTCGAGAACCGCTCGCTTCGAAGAACTGGCCCCGGGTAAGGGTCGGGGTCCCCGTGGACCCCGCATGGAAAAAATCTGACATCGCACATGTCGTGAGCAAAAACTGTCGGAACTCTGCATTGATTTCCTGGTTCGGAGCCTGGGACCCCCTGGCGGCGCCTCCGGCGCTGCCCCTGGCGCGCGCAGCGCGCCAGGAGGGGGGGGGGGATCCAGCGCCGATGCGGGCAATCCGCGCGGAGCTTCGAGAGTGTAGAACCGGGTAGCCTCCAGCGGCGTGCCTCCCGGCCCCGCAGCAGGGCAGGGTTCGAGGCGCGCAGTTTTTCCAGGTCCAGTCCTGCAGCCGGAAAACCAGTTGTCTCAAGATGGCTTGGGCCAAGCCAGCCGCAGTACACGAGACAGATGGGGAGAGCAAGTGGGAAGGGGGGGGTCATAATAGACAAGCAGGGGGCAAGTCTGGACTCTGACGCGTGTTTTCAAACAGAGAGTGCACGCGCGTGTCATCAACTTGGCATCGCTCGGATGTGTGCCTCTTTTCGGCGAGCGAGCACTGTCGAGAAGAGCGTTTTTTGTCCCCTCGGGAAGTATGGCACGCGCGAAGCCGAAAAAGGGCAGGGGGCATGGACGTCCGAGCGCTGGTGAGTTTGCACGCCGGTCGTTGAAAGTAGGTATTTCTGGATGCCCAGGTCCCAATCTACTTCA